CAGTATTCAAGGAGAAGCGGTGGAGTCAACGGAAGCGTCACTTTGACGACCTAGCTGCGGATCACAGGTTGTTGGACCCAGAGAACCACTTTCGAGTCGATATCTTCTACAGAGTACTTGACATCACCGCAACGCAGCTCAAGCAGCGTTTTCAGGCAATGGCCCTCATAACTCAGAAGTTTTTCATTCTCAATCCGCATACCTTGGCCACGACGGACGCAACCGAAGTCATGACAGCAGCTAAAGCCCTGAAAATGGAATATCCTGAAGACTTTACGGAGGCATTTCCATTACAGTTGATCTCTTTTCGAGAGACCATGAAGAAACAAATCAGTGAGGTGTCATCTGTCAGAGACCTGGCGCATCTTCTCATCGTAGAGTATTCAGAGATTTCCTCAAACTACATGGATGTGTGCACAGCCCTGCTGCTCTTCCTCACACTCCCTGTGACTGTCGCTAGTTGCGAAAGGTCGTTTTCCAAACTTAAAATAATCAAGAATTACCTGCGAAACTCAATGAGTCAACAACGCCTGAGAGGCCTCGGATTGCTCTCGATTGAAGCAGCGCGGGCTAAGAAGATGGATGTACTAAGACTCACCGACGTGTTTGCCGAGGCTAAAGCAAGAAAAATGTCATTTTGAATGCTTGGACGCCAATGCAGTGCATCAGATTTATGTCTTCCTCTTTTCCCCTATTCTTATCTGGAAAAATTCTTCCAATGTATACATGCGTCAATATCAGATTGTTTCATTAATACAGTGAGTAGCAAACCTGTTATGAGAAGATGAGTTTTTTTTATGGGGGGGGGGGGGGGCCAGAATTAGGTTTTGCGGGGGGGCCCAAGATTTCTTGCTACGCCACTGCTCTAGTTCCACTCTCTATGGTTGCAACGCATAAAAGTACTCGGCGGGAAATGGCTCAACGAAATCCGAATAGGAATCCCATGTGATGTCTAAGAATAAAGTGGAAAGTTTGGAGGCGATGGAGAGAAGACCCGAGGAACGCCCGAGGAATGAGCTTGGCTTCGTTCGAACCACTTTTTTCGTCTTCCCTCTGGTCACTCTACCGCTCTCACGGGAAGCCATGTCGAGACTGCATCTCCGAATTCGGTATCGACAACTCGGTCAAACATTTGATCGGTGCAGGAAAATTGGGAAGCATGCATCGACCGAACGATGACGCCATTACGCAGCGGCGTGGCGTTGGGAAGGATGGAAAGGGTGGGGGGCGGGGGGTTACCCCCTTGGCCCCGTCCTCACACTTTCCCCATCCACGCTACGAGAATGCCAGTACAAGAGGGAACTGGCATCAGCAGCAAAGCCACCTGATTCCAGGGCAAGGATTTTTCAGTGAGGTTTGGATTTCACTGGCAGGTTATGCGCAGGGAAGTAATGACTTTTGAACCGTACGCCTAAAAACTGACAGTGCAAGTGAAAATATTTGGGCCCCCAATGCAATTCAGAGTCATAGTCTCAATAATACTGCATAATTGCCATATCTGAATACAACTAATCCGGTTGAATGTACTGGCTTTCCTAAGAGGAGATTATTAATTGATACAGGCTAACAAAACACTTCATACCAGTTTGGAAGACATTTTGAGAATAACCCTCAGATGTGGGTCTTTTTCTATGGGAGATTCCCTGAGATCGGTCTTCTTCCCGAATTCCTCGGCTCAAAAGATTGTTTAACTAGGAGATGTCCTGAACAGCCGAGCATAGAATCTAACGCAAATCTCCATGTGTTATCTCTAAGGCATCTTTCGGATGAAATTGTGCTGTGGGAGATGGAGAAGCAGTGCTCTTCATGTTGCTTCTTTATTATTTCTTCCTTAGAGTTTCCAAATTAAAACGTAAAAAAAAATTCAAAACAGGCATAGATATTTATGTCAAAGATCACAAGGAATCGCAATTGATGCACCTATCAACTGAAGGGACAAGAAAGATGATACCATGCTCATGCAGACAGGACATCAAGATGATGCAGGAAATATTGTGCTACAGGATATGAATTGACAACCACAGGATCATCACAGCAGGTCACACTTTGGGAAAGAGTGAAAATGGAATTATCCTGAAATTTGATATCAGGTAAAATATTAATGGACTTTAAGTCTTAACCTTTCATAGTTGTTGCATTAATGCAATCTCAATGTTAGAAAAAATGAAAAGGCAAATCTATGGCAGTGCAGGGTTGTACATATGAAGTCAATTAAAGCCAACTCCACACTCTTGTCATTCATGGGAGCCAAAACTTAACCTAAAACCAAATTGATTGATTTAATATGAAAGCAACATATTTCAAAAAGATACTTCACATTACTACTTATCATATTTTGTATAATCAAATATTTTATTGCAGAAATTATATTAAAATGAAGCTTCATACACACTCATTTGCATTATTGACTTCATTTGAGTTCGCAAAAATTTCCACTGACAACTATAAAAAAAATTAAATATTTCCAGAAGTCTAACTCAACTAGAATAAAAATAGAATCAAGCGCTACAAGCACTAAATAGAGATTTCTGGCAATGCCAATATCATCTCAGCATGGCCTCTAAGAGCAATGAAAGAGATAAAAGATGTATGAAGCAATGAGAAGATGGTGGGTTCACTTCTCTTCACTCATTTTGCTTGCGAAGTTCTTCTTCTTCCGCTGGCGTGAAGTCATTTCGGATGTTGAAGGTCTTGTATATTTCTTTGGATGTCTTCCCCTTTAACATGTTGGCCACAGTTTTGCAGGTGACATCCAGCAGGTCTTTGATGTCCAAGTAGTTAGCAGCCTACAAGAACAAAGACATTTCACAGTGACCCAGGCCATAGTTACAAAAAAAAGTGATAGTTCAGCTTCATGGTTCTATTTATTCCAGAAACCAATGGATCAAATCATGCTAAAACTGCACTTGCTGCATCCTTTATTTGCCTTTGAATTAAGGAAAAGAGGCAAGCTCAGCATCATTGATCTATATTTGATCTGATTATTTCATGCACACTCAAATGCATTCATACAAACATATTAAAATATGTTCATTTTAGGGATTCTGAATGTGGAAAAACTTCAACCTGCATCTCATAATTTGTTATTAATAACAACAAAGAGAGGATGCGACTATAGCAATATGATGCCCTGCAACAACTTCTCCATCACCTCTTAAACTGCATTGAAGAGTAATCAATATGCACATTGCAATAAACTTTTTTTTTGCATTTCTCACAAATAAACATTTTTCTTACTGATATTTTTTTACCATATGGTTCACACCATTTTCTTTACTTTTAATGTGGCCCACCACTCTCTTTGGGAACTTTGGACAAACCCTACTGCAGACAAACACTGATTCTGACCAAGTGGTGTTAACTCTTGAGGGTCAATATTTTACTCATAATTAAGTGAATGGAATTACCTTTTCATCAGCAATTAACTAAGCTTTTTTTGCATTTGCCATAGAGTTACACTTACATGATTCACCAGGAAATCATCATATCACAGTTACACAGCAGAGATGTCAAAACTGGTGCTGAGGTATTAAAATTAATGTTGGACCATACATGGAACACTAGTGCCATATTTGAACTCACTTCATTCAAAGTTGCGATAAATAAAAAATTATTCTCAAATATGCTCAACCAGATCTTGACAGCTGCTTAGAGAGAGGATTAAATTCAGCAGTTGTAATATTCCAATTTTATTTATGTTCTCGTTTCAATGAAAAAATGCATTACGTGGGGAATCCAGGGCAAAACATGCCAGTAGCAGCCATGATCTAAAAACTGTGATTACCTATGTCAGCTTTCCAAAGTTTTGGCAAATAGTGCACATGCTAATCCTTACCCTCCTAAGCATACAGGTTGCATCAGCTATTTGAGAACAGAATTTGACTTTGAGGAAAACAAAAATATTCAGTAGAAAAACCAATATATTTTCATAGAATTTGGTACACATGTTCTTACATACACATAACAAAAGGCTATTCTATATAACCGCCTTCAACCTCAATTACAGCCTCGATGCGGCTTCTGAAATGAACACATGCATTGATCAGGTGATCCTTATTTATGTTTGCCATAATGTCCCCAATGGCAGCCTTCAACGAGTCCTTGGTATTATGGGCAACAATTACAGCCTCGATGCGGCTTCTGAAATGAACACACGCATTGATCAGGTGATCCTTATTTATGTTTGCCATAATGTCCCCGATGGCAGCCTTCAACGAGTCCTTGGTATTATGGGCATGCTTGTTGGTCTCCCTCTCAACGATGCCCCAGATGTAGTAGTCCAGGGGGTTTAAATCAGGAGAGCTAGGAGGCCAAATGTTAGGGGTAGCATGATCATGAACAAGCACCTCAAGGAGCCCAACATGCTCTGGTTCTTCTCAGATGAGAAGAACTTAGACCAAGATCAAAAAGTGAACAGGAGGAATGACAGGTGGTTCTGCTCCAGCCCCACTGAGGTCCCCACTGTTATGCACAGTAAGTTCCCATCGTCTGTGATGGTCTTGGGGGTCTTGAGCAATGAGAGCTATGTCATGCCTCCCCACTTTTTCCCCCAAGGTCTTAGTGTCAATGCGGCCGCCTACATCGAGACACTGGACACGATTGTCAAACCCTGGATTGAGGGAGTGGCTCGGGGGAGACCGTACGTGTTCCAGCAAGACTCTGCTCCCTCTCACACAGCCAGCACGACTCAGGAGTGGCTGGCCGAAAATTTTCATGATCATGTTACCCCTAACATTTGGTCTCCTAGCTCTCCTGATTTAAACCCCCTTGACTGGGCGTCGTCGAGAGGGAGACCAACAAGCATGCCTGTAATACCAAGGACTCGTTGAAGGATGCCATCGGGGACATTATGGCAAACATAAATAAGGATCACCTGATCAACGCATGTGTTCATTTCAGAAGCCGCATCGAGGCCGTAATCGAGGTTGAAGGCGGTTATATAGAATAGCCTTTTGTTATGTGTATGTAAGAACATGTGTACCAAATAAACTGGATGGGCTCCAAAGCACACATTTTCATGTGCTATGTACCCAATTATAATTCCAAAGTGAAAATGGTTCTGTATTGTGCACAGTTAGGTTGAAATGAATTCAATTCAACTCAGAGCTTTTTGGATATGAGGTTCACACTAATTTTTCTGAACTTCTATAACTACATTTAATTTACAATTCAGATTAATGTGCTATCCTCACCAATATCAGTTCAAAGAGGGTGCCCTGGTCCACTTTGAGGAAATCAGCATCCCATGAGCTGATGTCATCTGTACATTTCTCTTTATTGTCTTCATCAGCAGGAGGGTCACCTTTGTGGTATGTGCACCACTGGATAACCTTCTTCAAGATTGCTCCATTCACATTGGGCAGAGGCCAGGGGCTGTCTTCCTCTTCATAATTTTCTAGAGAAAAAAATGTATTTATAAAATCTAATCAACTCTCATATTTCCAATTAAATGATCATGTATAATGATGATCACAGCATCAAGAACTGTTCCTCAAAGAGGCACAGATCCTGTTAATACCCTGTTGATACCCATTTTCAAAATTCAAAATTCCAAAATGTTTATATGACACTGGAAATGATGAATCAAGTCCAGCTTTAATCAGATCACCATGGTTCAGTTATTATTATCTCTCTCCATTTAGATCATCACTGTCTGTAATCCCCTCCATCCAGAACATGGTGCAGAAGGAAAATTGGATTTTCTTGAAATAGGTTCTGTTCAAGCCACAGAGAATCCAGCAGCCAGTGGCACTGCCAGGTTTTCGTCAAATGGGGGGGCTAAGCGGAATGTTGGGGGGACTAACTTCTCCTCATTGGGGTGGGGTGGGTGCATTCCGACCAGAGCTCGGGGGGCTTGAACCAAACTTGGGGGGGGCTTCAGCCTCCCCAAGCCCCCCCTCACTACACCACTGCCAGCAGCACATTCACTTTCAAACCAGAACCTACTTCCACACATATTTCATAATTACAAATATGAACATAAAGGAGTCAAAGAGAAAGACACGTACATGTAAGCATTAATCACTAGATTCAAGATGATCCGTACCAAGATTAGAGAAAGCAAATACTGTTAAACACTATATTCAGAAAAGCATCTCTCAAGATTTATGAGTATAATTGAAACAACATTACATACATGTTAATGTTGTTAATGTTACTAGCAACATAAAACTCACCAAGATTTTCCAGGCTTGGCTGGATGATGCCAATCAGTTTGGCAATTTCAACATCTACCTCAAACACTTCTCCATCTGAACTTTCCAATATTATATTGGGCATCTTGGAAGTCACACTGATTCAATATGTAGGGATTAATGGCACGCCTGTAAATTACTAAAATTCCCACCTGTTGAAATGCTCATGCTCAACATTAGAAAATCCTCTCTCAGGCACATTAAATAATTAAAATTTTCTGACAAACTGACTGGAACTTGAAGCCAATTGGAACTATTCTGAGATACCAATTAAGCATTTTGAATGGTATAACCACACAAATCATATTTCCTCACATTTATGCTAGGGAGACTCCTTCAATGCCCCTGTAGCACAGTTGTCTTGCATGCATCTTTGCATCCTTCTAGCCACCATGGAATAAAGTAACGAATGATGGGCAATGGGATCTAACCATATTGACATGAATTCCAGGAACAGAATTCTTTTTTATTTCCCACATTTAAGAAGCTGAAAGGAAAACAAGTGCAACATCATCTGATGAGGAGAGACATAGTAGAGGCATAGAGGCAGCCTCACGGATCTACCCCTAAGCCCATCACCTATGACATTTTCTGTGATATAAATGGCTAAATGGTTTTGCTACTATTGCTACAGTTTGATGTTGCAGTAAATTTTTAAATTATGATGAACATTTTCTACATGGTCAAACATGGAAACTTGGTTACTATGTTGAATAAAATCTTGGCCTTGTATAAAGTCTATATGATGTGCATATTTATACCTTGCTTATAGCAAGTTTGGTTACCATGGCCACTTCTGTCATAGAAGTCAATACTTGTCCCAATGACAAAACTGATCATGTGAAATTATTAAATCCTCAGACACACTCTGAAATGGTTGGGCACAATAATCATTAAAATCCCTAACTTTCATTTGTGTGGAAATTGCATTCCTGGACCTTCTCCTATGCATGCAGAGTTCATAAGAATGGAGGGGTGGAAAATATTCAGTAACCAAGATACCTCATCCTAATCTTCAGTCGTTATTCATACTTCTTGCTAACATCAGGTTAGTGAAGATGGAAAGATCCAAGACTTCATAATGGTGCAGAGAGACTGATTTGATAGAAAATATGGAAAAAAAGGCAGGCAATGATTGTCAACATGGAGTCCTAATCTCATTCCATTCCACAATATGTGATATTGCTATGTCAGTTATAACAAACTGCAGCTAATACAGTGATTTTCTCCTGGTTCCTTCAATTCTGTTATAACAGAGTTCAACTGTACCTTCAAAAATAGGTCACTGGAGGTGAGAAGTAGCATGCAAGTCAGCCCACCCATAGATGTAGTACATTGCAATTACTTAACCTGTCAATATGGTGTTCTGGCCCATGACATGCATGACAGCAGAAACCCAAAGTAAGGCAACCAGCATGTCCATGAATCCAATGAAATGAAGCAAAGGACTGTGAAGCAGGTCAAAAAGTATCAGAACCATTGCTGGACATGAGCACCAAGTGACTTCAAACAACCACATCCTGTTGGATAGCAGTGAGTTCCCGTCAACCTTTCATTGTGCTGTTATCCAGTTTTCCGTACTGGGTAAAGGCTGTATGCACCTGCTGCCATGTCATCACATGGATACTGAGGCCCACAGTGACATTATACCATGGCAGCAAACAATTATATGGGTGGGCCCTGGCTTTTTGGCAAGACAGCAGGATAAATGCAAGCATTATATTCAGACTGGTTTGTAGCAAAGCATGAATTTGCCTGGGCATTGCAAAGTCCACGAGAGACTTCAGCTCAGACCCAAACACAAACCTGACCTGACCCCAAGTTTAAAAGTGAAAAATGAAAGTTAGGTTTTGATCTCTGGTTTCAGTACAACTACATAAATGAAAGAATAGCAGGGAGGTGCAAGCTAATGACGGTTCACTGATTTGCCTACTGTTATGTTCAGCAAAAGTTCAACAATGCACTCAAAATAAATAAGACTTTCAAAGGGTCTATTTTCTTTCAATTTCATAAATTTTATTACATTTCCTTTGGAGCAAGATACTGTTTTGTTGTGAGAACATTTTGAAATTAATAGGACAGCAAACTACCCTCTCATAATTAAGTAAATAAAAAGGCATAAGAGTCTTTACAAACAGCTCTTTTCACTACCATAACAACCCACCAGAACTTGGGCTTCATGTTATTGCTGTTACAATCATTAGCACTCATTCGTATATAAGCACCTCATTGAAGGCACCTCGAAGCGCTCTCTCCATCACAAACGACAATAGCTCCAAGAATTAGATGATAAGGCTTCCAAATTAGGTCATATATGCTCAGCCAAGGCCTATTTGTTCCATTGCATTTCCCTCGCCAACCCACGAGGGCGACAGCAACGCCCACCATATACCTATAGAATGTCCGAATCCACCTAAATTGGTTTGTTTTCGGATTGAATCACAAAGCGTATTACGACATCCACTCCCGCGTGCGACAATGCCAGGAGAGCGGCAGCGACGGTCGCGTTCGACAGTCGCACGGAACTGAACTCAAGTTGGTACACTTAACTCTGGAGGCCACCATCCAGGCTAAATTTACTTATTGTGCCGACCTGCAGATTTTCAAGCGAGAAAGACGCTGACGTTGACGGTTCGGAAATCCTCTCACGGATTCATGAATGCGAGGAAGCATTAGGCCTTGTTCCGTGGCCTCGTGCAGCCCTTCCATGCTGACTATCGGGAAACTCCTTATCAGGCCCGATAACCGGACCAAACACTGGAAGTTGCACGCCCTTGCATAAGGCCACGATGTTACGAAACTTAGTCATCGGCTAATACTGTTTTTCCCTGCATTATGCTGCAACTACTTCCCGTAGATTTCAAAAGTTTCCGCCAATCGGGGAATCGAGCGCGAAAGCTCGAAAGACCCTCAAGACACTGACTCTCTGCTTCACTTCCCATCGCTCATTTCATGCGTGGAAATAAAACCGGAATGCGCAGCAAAGTGCACAGTAGGGTCAATCACGCGGGGACAGGAATCGCGAGATCGAGAAGGGAAAACTCCCGGTGTGATCGCAGATCAGCAGCCGGCAGAAAGAGTACATCCAAGTATCAATTGAAGATGTCGCTAGTGTCTAATTTGCCGCCGAAGCGGAACTCGCGCCAACTCGTTAGAATATTTGCATGAATTATGTAAGACGCGGTGATGAACGAAGGAATGAGGTGGCCTCAGGGGACAAAAACCATCTTCTCTCCCCATCCGATCCCCTTTGAATCCTCTTTGTTGCGACTCTCTTTCCCTTCCTTCGTTAAATTCTCCATCATTAAAGTTCCTTTCTCCTCCAGAATAAGGGAGGAATCAATACAGAGACTGCAGGATCTTTGCCACACAGGCGCTTATGCAGTGATGCATGAAAGAAACGGCATAGCCACCCCCCCCCCCGCCGTTTGTTTCCCGTTGATTCAACGGCGAGTCACAGTTGATTTATGAGTGATTGCAAGTTTAATCGTATTCGTTGTACGGGAGATGCGAACTTTCCGAACCGGGAAGTGGCTTTCTCCGGCCCGAACCCGGAATCAGCAGCAGCGGCAGCGGTCGACGATGATGTCCCTGGCTCTCCCGGTTCTGTCGACTTTGCCCGATTCTGCAGCAGATAGAAGAGAGCTGCCATGAGAAAGGAAGTGCTCGTTTGGCTGCACAGATCTGCCTGGATGCGCAGGGTTGCCCTCATGCCATGCTGACCGCTTCACGTGTCGCAGATTTCTTCGTCGTGCTGAATGCGACGCGATGGGAGCGGCAGCATAGGCAAATTTTCAATTCTTTGGGAATTTCGATGGGAAAAGTCGCGTTGATGTGGTGTTTCTGATGATTTTCGCCCAGGCCCTCGTGGTCCGTGACGAAAATTCTTTGAAAAACATTTGCCAAAAATTCTGCCCAATTCACTGGGATTTTATTCGTCGAGAGACAGACTGTGACGCGTGTCTTAATTTCGGCGTTTCACTCATTCAGATCGTTCAAAACGAATTCCGCGTAAATTAGCCAAACATACTTCGGATCCACGTCACAGAACCCTCACAGAATCCTCACAGAGACCTGGGATACATGTGAAGATCACACCGACCTTGTTCGACCCAATTTCTCGTCCGCTCCTCGGAAGCCAGACCTGCCAAAAAAAAAATTATCTGAAACAATTATTCAAACATTCAAATATCGTATTTTCCCCCTGCCATCGAAGACGGCATCGTCATCGAAGGCGGCCTTCCTTACCGTCTTCCATCACCTTGATCACGAAGTTCCTGATGGCCCCCTTCGCCGCTCCCCTCCTCGTCACCCTCCGAGCTAACGGAATAAAAAAAAAAACCACCCACCGTGACGTCACACAGCAGACGACGCCGCACGACCCGCCGTGACGTCACGAACCGGGACCTCCAGACCTCGCCCAGCGACCTTCGTCCACCCGGGGCATCGCATCCTCCCCTCGTGCACGAACTCCATCACGAATAGTTCCGGGAGGATCCGGTAGGTGGGGAAGGAGTCGAAGTAGCAGCGGTGGCCCAGGAACTCCAGCTTTCCTCCCTTCCACTGCCTACCGTGGGAAAATCGTGAAAATAAAATTTAAAATTGTTTGAAAATATAAAAACTACATACTACGTTTTACACTGCGCCTACGAGCGAGTGATGGTCACAACCAGACAGCTTTAGATCAATCTATTTTATGCATTACTAATATGTTTCTCAAATATGAACGTTTTTTTTTATATTAAAAAGTTTTATTCGATCGGCCCAATTCTTTATACCCATATGTAAATAGATAGGGGGTCCGTGCCGAATCGGAGGGAAATCGAGCCACTGCGTCACGAGCCCGGTCGAAACTCGTAGGATGAAAAACGCAATGGGCATCCCTGCTGATGCGTCTGCCTCTGGAGTGGGTGAGCTTTGTGTCGAGCCGAGAGGATAATCCACGGAGGGATCAAGGGGGGGGGGGGGGGG